TTGTTTTTGTTTTTGTTTTTGTTTTTGTTTTTGTTTTTGTGTCTTCATAATTGCTCACTCGTTTTTTTCTTTTCTGCTAATGACAAGAAGATGAATGAGCAACAACGACAACAATAGCAAATGTGAAAGATTTTTTTTTTGGCTTGGCTTGGCTTGGCTTGATCATTGGCTTTATAAATTTTTGACTCTTTTCGTTTAGTCTTTACAATAACTGATCATTTTTGCAATTTTTTTTTCTTTACATTTTGTCTAAGTCTTGTTGAAGTGCTTAAACAGTGACAAACCTAAAGTATGATTCAAAAAGTACAATGAAAAAATGTGACTGGAATAAGCTTATAGACTGATGCAGTTGAGGTATTTTGTATCTATTCAAATTACCGGTTAACGCATAATAATTCTTTTGCATACTATAGGCTTCTTAAAAACAATAAGGAAGAAAGTATAAAGCATATTTTTGCATCATAAATCTTGACATACATTTAGTTATTTGTAAACTACAATAAAGCATCAATTTTTTTACATACTCTCTGTTTTAACGTAAAAAAAGTTTTAAGCATTAAAAACAAAGAAAAACAAGAAAAAAAAAAAGAAAGCAACTTGCTGTCTGTTATACCGAATTGTTTAAATAATCACGTCATTGACCAAACCACTACTCTGTAAATAATTTTTGTTCAGTTTTAAGAAGGGCCTAAGAAAAAAAAAAAAAAGTTGAAAAAAAAAGTTTTAAGAAATTTTTTCTTTTGCTATACATTATTATGTTGCATTGATGAATGGTAAAAAGAAGCCTTATGTTTGCATCGATCAACAAACGCTACTTTTTTTTTTTGTCAGACTAGAACTGTGAACCGTTGTTCAAACTAAGTTAGTGCTTTGCGGTGTCAAAAACTGTCGTCATTTTTTCTTTTGAAGAAGCGATGAAAAAGGGAAGAAGAGAGGAAGGAAGAGAGGGAGGGAATAAAGCGAAAAAAGACTGATTGCTGAGCAGGAAAAAAAAATTGGAAACAAGAGAAAGGGTTGCAAGTTGAATAACGATCAACTCAAAAATGAATATCAAACTATTTGAACTTATTTATGTCGACTTTGAGCAGTTTTTGGTGACTGCTGAAAAATCAACAGTGCAACATCAGTCAACTTTATCTTTATTTGTACAAAATTCTTTTTTTTTTTTTTTGCTTTTTTAATTTTTGCTTTTTTTATATTACCAAAATTGCAACAAAAATCACCTACATAATACTTGATACTGGTTACTAAACCAATCATTTGAGCAACAGAAACAGTAAAAAAAAAAACAATTGGATTTAATGAATAAGCTTTGAAACAGATTTTTTTATTGGAATATTCACTTTTTTCCAAAGCTACTTATGAGTCGTATTGGGTTTTTGCAGCTAGATGTTAAGGAATGCTTTCTAACTATCTATTTTTCTTCCACTTCTTAGTCGCTTTTTCATTATTTCTTTTTATTTCATCTTTTATAACATTCCTCATCTAACCTACTCCGTAAATTCCACAGTAGGC